CTTCTCTTTTTAAAAAAAAAAAGATTGCCATATAACGTTTTTCTGTGACATACTGATATACTGGATATTATCCATGTATCATTTCTTAGACAAATTCGAACATGGAGAATCGTTTTCGAAAAAGTCGTATGGTATACAGGTATAATAACAAGATATACAGGATGTCCAAAAATTATTGTATTTCCAAGAAACGACGGGTTCCTGAGGTCATTTGAAATAACTTTTTCCTTGGCGAAAATGCACTCCGCGGCTTTATTTACGAGTTATTAAAGAAAAACACTGACCAATGAGCGGCGAACTCGGCTGGCGCGAGACCAGTCGAGCCAATGAGCGGAACCGGGCTTCGTCCGCTTCGCGCCAGCCAAGCTCGCCTCTCATTGGTCATTGTTTTTCATTAATAACTCGTTAACGATGCCTCGGAGACATTTTTTCCAAAGGAAAAAGTTGCTTCGAATGACCTCAGGAATCTCCAATTTCCCGGAAGTACCATAATTTTGGGACACCCAGTACAAGGCTTACGAATGGAGGATGAAATTCAATTCCGTCAAGAATTTCTAACGATTTGCAAATCGCCACAAGTGAATCCGAGAGCATCGAAACAGATGCGACTGAATCGAGAGACAGAAAGTAATTGAAAGAAATCAGTAAAACATTAATTACAAATTTTATATTCCGCAATGTATAATCAATGCTTGGACATTTAGAGTATCTCGATCTCTGCCCAAAATGCATCGATTCGACCGCACCGTGCGACACGTTAAAAAAGCGTAAGGCGACGTTGAAAGACGACGCGATTGGAAGGACCGGAGAGCAAAGTCATCGAACGAGGAGGAAATGGAGCGCGCGTTCGAAGTAGAAACGGTTTGCGTAGCCGGGACAGAAGTTTGCGCTTAAATGATGAAACCAGAGTCGCGTCGGATCGGCTGATGCATGAAACGGCGAGCGGCGCAGTAACAGCAACTGGAAGCCAAATTGGAAGCCGGCAGAGCGCGGCCCGAAAACTAGCAGCGGCGACGGACAAGCGTGCAGACGGTCGGGCACACCGGCTAGAAACTCTAAAATCTCTTGCGTTCGGTAAAACGTGCACACTCGGGAGCGCGGGGTGCGGAAACGGGTGTAACGTCCGCCAGAACATCGGCCGTTCGCGACTAAACGAGCAGAAAGCCAAAGGAAAGCCGCGTTTGGCTAGTATTCGAGGCGCTACCGTTACGGGGTTTAATTACTCTCTTCATAGAGACACTAAACATTCGACTGTCTGTGAGGTGGCCAGCGAGCGGCCTCGGCTTGCCGCTGAATGCGCGCGTTTCCGCATACGACGCGACGCGACGCGACGCTCCGTCTGTCACAGAGACGATAATTACGCTCGCAAAGCTGCCGTCTATTGGCGCTTTTATAACCGCAGTGTTGCCAGCCTAATTCCGTGGTTGATCGAATTTTGCTCCAATGCTTTTCGCTCGACGGATTAAGTACGATTCGCTGGCGAAAAAAGAGTCGCATTGGCGATCAATCGAACGAGTCGACGGGATCCCGAACCGTAAATATGTACAGCACGGAACGCGTAAATTAAATTCATTTTTGTAAGATGCATTCGGTCCTATCTCGGAGTACCTATCGGTTAAATTACGGGCTCGGAGATAAATAAAAGATCGCCGGGTCCGAGGTAAGCAGTTTTTAAATACTCCAGAACCATCGAACTCGGTGATCGCCGAATCGATATCGAAATGCCACAAGATTCGAGTAATTCATTTAGTAAACCGAAAATTGGAAAGTCAATTTTAATCAGACTCGACGCACTCGATACATATTTATATATTTATTTAGCATGAACGGACCAAGTGCCGTTTCAATTTCTCTATAAGAATTCAACGTAAGAAGTAATAACAACAACAGCAACGATAATCAAATGAAACCAAAGATAAAAATGAAAATGAAAACGAAAACAGCATGTCTACGATATACAAAAGAAACACGAACTGAACGTCCCAGAATCAATGAAGAATCATCGATCATCGAGAATCATCAATGAAGAAATCAATGTCGTTGGTATAAGCATACCGACGCAAAAGATAATTAAAAGCCGGATACACGCAAATATTTGAAGCGTCACAGCGTTAGAATGTGCCTTCCGAGTCAAAGTTTACGAGGCGTCTTTGTCGTGAAACGGTGCAGAAAGATTACGCAACGAGCCTCGACACTGCTCTAATATGCCAGCAATTTTCTTGAATTTTCCGCGGCGCGGTATTAACGACAAAGAGGTTTCCCAGCTGGTTTCGCCTCGCTCCTCATCGGTGGAAATTTCGTGTTCCGAGCGGAATCCTCCGGCGGAGAAAACGAAAGGAACGGAGAAAGGAAAGACAAACGAAAGCTCGGCACTCGGTTGCTTATAAAGCCGTCTGCAAAACAATGTGGCCCGTCTTTTAAAGGGGACAGAGCTGAACTACCGTTCCGGCAGCACGGCGAGCCGCTTCCTCCCTCCCGCATCATCGCCCCGTTTTAATTAGCTTTACCGACCGGTAAACAATAAGCCCTTATTTCTGATGAATTAGTTCCCAACAATCTCGTCGACTGGTCGGCACGACCACGGACGGTTTTCATTCCGCGCCGGTTTTCGCGTCTCGCATCGTAACGAGAGTTTTCCGTAATACTATCCTCCGTTCGCGACTCGCTGGAATTTCTGCGACTACGGACCGCTTTTGTTAAGCTCTTTATGCCGTGGAAGCGGGCATCGAGTAACATCGACGTCCGTAGATATCGTTTTCGCGCAGAACCCGCAGAGTCGCGTATATTCGAGTTGACACGTTTTCGACGGATTGCGGGGAATCGTTTTTGGAAGAATGTTTGCCACGGAATGTTTTTCTCTAACACGTGGAATGCCGCGTTAATTTTACATGATTTACTCGTCTGGGCAACACGAAATGAGCTGTTGCTCGTCTGGGCAACAGTACTTAGATTGTGCACAAAAGTGGACATTTTGAGAACAGAAGATACGATTATTCGAGCCTTGTAGCTCGTTTCTTATAGTTGTTGACAATTCGTAACTATTAAAAGGAACCGCGAGGCTCGAATAATCGTATCCCCTCTTCCCAAATTGTCTATTTTCGTGGACTATCTGAGCGTCAATTAGAGAGACATTACTGTATTTGTAGAAAACGATGTAAGTGGCGAAAGATGTAATTGTCAAAACACCGCTGTCATCAAACTATTAACAAAAGTTGATTCATTTTAATCTTCACACGTAACTGAGACCGCAATAGCTTAAAAACATAATAAAGTGTTTTATTTCTTGCAATACTCCAAGCAACACTAAATGCGTGTGCAAAAGATCAATAAGAAATAGTTTCGTGAAACCCTTAAAAAAGATCATAAAATTGAGCAAATAGAAATCAACATACTATTAACCTTCTATGGACCCATATAACTTTCAAGTTACCAAATAGTTCTAGTTTTGTTCACTTGCGGAACAGATCGATAAGAAATAGTTTCATGAAACCCTAAAAAAAGATCATAAAATTGAGCAAACAGAAATCAACATACTGTTAAGAAAATCGTCGCTGAGAAAATCAGGTTAAAGAACAGCAAAAGGACGAAAATAGGGTTGGTCGGAAGTCCCGTGGAAATCAACGGGGTTAAGGGTGTCCCAATAAACACAGGCATCATTAATCTTGTCCGTTCTCGGACGCTTTCAAGCGGCTCGTTCTCGCCGGAAGCAGGCGATAGCTTTCGGGTAACCGCGGTTCCAGACGTACTCGCGTGGCTGACGATCGATCTCCGGTAAACCGGGTTCGACGGGCGACCAGCGCGAATCCGAGAATCCGTTGCGAACGGAATATTCAAGCGTAGGATCGCGGCCAGAAGGATACGTCGCGCGGGTGGCAAATCCGAGCGGGAACGGGAAGAGGAAGAGGAAGACCGAGGAGAAGGAGCAGCCGCAGCTTATAGCGGCGCGAGACGCTCATCTGCATTTCAAATCATCCCAGCAAGATTTCCGCGCGCCGCCTAGGCGCAACACACCCGCACGGAACACAAGCCGGGACGGAATGCGATACGATGGATCCGAGATCGCCACTTTACCTTGCGGCGAGGCGGCATCGAACGCGCCAGGATTTACGATAAGCGCCGGACAAACCGGCTGACCGGAAGTCGCTCGAGCTCCTGACTTGACCGCGCCACTATCTCGAGCAAGACAAGAGGAAAACTGCAGTTCAAAATCCGTAGCCTGGTTTTTGGTGCGTTCAGGCTATGTCGCTGGAGCCGCGACTCGTGAGCAGACTGCGGTTTTTATGCGTTTACGACAGAAATTAATAAGCTCAAATGCAAAACTTTAAGAACTTTGCTATAATTTAACGATGTTAGTGCACTACTTTCAACGTATTGCAATCGTTAAAAAGAGAAAGACATTTTTATCTTTTTTTGCAATTACCTTAGATAATTTTGGTTTTACGTAATAATCCGCGGCCTACTTAAGAGATAAGGTGAATGTTCCAGTGATTGGACGATTAACGAAAGAATTTCCATTATATGTTATTTATCAGACTGATAAGTAGACCGTGGATCTTTGTGCAATTGCAAAAAATGACGCTAAATAGAACTTAATAATAATAAATAAAGAATCAACAATCTCAAATCGGCGGACACCGATTAAACGGATTCTCGAACGAATATTCGTCGGCGCTCGCGCGACACCGAATCGCGATAAAAGAAACGAGCGGCAGCTTTCCACCGCGAATGAGAAATGAACGCTTTGTCTCTAAATTGAAGATTCTGGAAACTGAAATAGATATTACGGATATTGTGTCCGGGACACGCGGGTCGCATTGTGTCGGCCGTCCGGCTGGATTACGTTTACCTGTCCGCCGATTAAACCGCGTGGAAATTCTATCAAGAGACAGACAAATGACCGCGGTCTCTCCGCGCCGGCGAGTACATGACGTTAATTAGCGGACCCGGCGGAAGAAGAGCTTGCGATACGGTAAACGGATAGCGAGGGATAATGAACTTACCTTGCCGACTCCGGTCAGCTCTTTCACGCCTATCCTCCGCAGCAGAGCAGGCGGGGCTGGCGGCGGCGACTTGAGAAGCAGAGCCGCGTATCCATTCGGGAAGATTGGCAAGTCGTCGGAGATGATGTTCTCGTCGCCGGAGCGACGCCGACGGTGGGGGCTCGACGAGAGGTTCAACTTCTGCGCTGCTCTGTAATCGACAAATATTTTCACTGTAGAATCGGCCGCTTCTTTTGTGCCATCGGATTGTTGTTGCGTCATCGAATATCGAAATTGCATCCCGAATCTCGCGGGCACCGTAAATCCCCTTTGGCTCGGGTCGATAATTTGGGGAGCTGGTTGAAAATGGTTCTGCACTTGGTACGAAATGATACTATTAGATCTACCGGAAAGTTCTGTCCGTTTTTGAATTGAAATATAACGCAATTTTCATACATTCGATAATGTTTATTGTAGAATATACTTTCCATCGTTACTTATGACTTCTTGCCAGCGCGATGGCAACTTGTAAAAGCCATTCTTAAAAAATGATTTATTTTTAGAGGCGAAGAACTCGACCAGTGCATGGTCGACATCAGCTTCGGTTTTGAATTTTTTTTCCTGTGAACAGTTTTGCAAAGAGAGAAACAAGTGATAATCGCAGGGTGCTAGGTCCGGGGAGTATGGCGGATGCGACAGAATTTCCCAGCCTAGTTCTGCGATTTTCCGACGAGTCGCCGAAGCAGCATGTGGTCCGGCATTATCATCGGTAGCCATGTTTTCACGATCGCGTCTCGCTTAATACTGACACGAGACATCTTTGTTTCAGTTCATTTAGGAGAGTACATGCGTGTAAACGCACAAAGGGTTAACTCAACAATATTAGCTACAGATGCACTGCGCGATCTTTACGAAGTCTCCACATTTGCGTTATAATGGAGAATATCATTCGTCAGTTGGATCAACGAATAATGTCAACCAGCAATCACTTTTCTGCAAGAGATCGTCTCCGTCGTTTGCAACGCGAACCAGTGCTCGCGACATATAAAACGCGAAATCCAAAGTCCGCGGTGGCTATCTCGATCTCGAGATGAAGAACAGGAAGGTGCACCACCTTCGTGCAACCGCGGAGGTAGCAGAAAAGATTTACGAGGCGCATGGTAATGCCGGGCGTGAGTGAAATAATGCTGCGAAACTGATTTGAAAAGTTTCGCGAGAGATATATATCCCGTTCCAAAGTATACGTTGCGGGCTCGTAATTTAACCAAATGAACCTTCGAAAAGATCCATAAAAATCTGCGCGCTGGGAAAGCTTGCGGAAACGCCGTCATTCGATAGGGACCCACGGCTGTAGTAGGTCCCCGTATCCCCGCGCCAATAATCCGCATTCCAAACGCCTTTTCAATCATCGCGCAGGTGTCTCCTCGTCTCAGCGTGCTATTAAAAAATTGTCCGTCGCCGGCCGGCCAGCGAGCGGGAAGCCCGCAGATAACCGCAGCGCGCGATCCGAAAAATCTAATTAAGCGAGCGAGCGAGCGAGCGGCCAGCGGGGAACCACAGTTCCGGGGGCCGCCGAAATTCTTCAATATCCGGCAGAATCCGTGTGGCAGGGGTTAAGAGACACCGGCGCGCATGCAACCTCGCGTGTATAATAAACTTTTTATAGCATGGAATCCAATATCAGTCGGGAGAGACCGGGCGAAACGGGGCAAGGCGAGCTGAGGCGAGACGAGGAGGCGCAAGAACGGGGAACCGTTTAAATCTCGGGAGAACGAAGAGCATAGACAACCGCTCTATCGTCTGCTCGTACGTTCGTACGTTCGTTCGTTCGTCTCGAACGCTTCCTGCGATGCCTATCTCGCAGATACGGAACCAACCGGTAGGAAAGGGTCGCAGGATTCCGGAAGGTATGTGTCTCGAGGGTGACTGGGTGACATACTCCGCGGGGCAGGCCGGTAATCAGCGAAGGTAATGTGCCGGAACCCCGTACGCGACAGGGTACCGCGTTTAAATGGGTGCCCGCGGAGGGTGCGGCCGGAGCGAGGGGCAACGCGGCCGGGGGATAGGGGTAGAGAGAGGGTGAAGAGGTGTAACAGTGGGACCATCGAGGCTCACTTTTGGCGGGGACAGAGGACGTTCCAGGGGCTCGGTCGCCCTAACTTCTCCAGCCCTCGGGCCTCGTTAACCCACGCTCTGTGAAATTGGAAATACCAACGAGAGAGCGAGCCGGCCGAGTCGCGCGAGAGAGCCGAAATCTCTCTCTCTCTCTCTCTCTTGCTCTCTCGCTCTCTCTTTCTCTCATTTTCTCGTTCTCTCACGGCTCGGAACGAGAGAGGATCCGCGCGAGCCAGCCCTCTCGTTTTGCGGCGTGCGCGTGCAAGCTTTTGCGACCACCGTGGCGGGGCGTCATAAAAAATAGAAAGGGCCGAGGACAGGGGGACACGGTCCGGTTATCAACGTTCCCCGGCGCCTGCTTCGCGCGACGCCCACACACGACTTCCGGCCGCATTACGCCCGAATAATCCGCGCCGTTCCCTGCGAGCAACCATGCAGCCCGGGCTAATAGTCTCGCGACGACCGCTGTGTTGCAGATATACCTGGCTGCCAGAACCGGAGCCGCGTATCCCCTTTTTCTTTTTAACGAGCATCTCGGTGCGATTATGATGGCGGACGAAGCATTCGTTGCGCTGCGGCGCTTCGATTGCTTCGGATCCGACACGGAATTGTCGAGCATCCTAGAACAACGATTTGTACATTTTCCGATCGGTAGTGTGTCCGTTCGGAAGAAAACACTACCATGACGTTGTTTATTAACTACTGTCTGCAAGTGAATCGCTTTCTTCAACATTTTTAATTTTGATTTGCATTTTTCTATACGAAAGATTCTTCTATTTTCTGCATAACTTTCAGCAAATTTGTAATAATTTTTAATAATAAACAGGCGTTGTTGAATCGAAAATATCTTTGCAGTTTCGTCCACCGCAATGTTTGCACTTGATAAACGTCAAATGATGGCCGTCTGGTGCAAAAAATTTAAATAACGCGAAATTTAAAAGTAGTGCTAAAAACTGGATACCCTTTATGCTATCTAATGTTTAAGGTGATACCCAAAGTTTAAAATTTATCATACGAAATGTTTCCTTTTAAGATTTTACAAAAATTCTATATTATGTGGTCTAAGATCAATAATAACACACTAGGTTTACGGAACCCGTCAAAATGACGGATCTCTAATTTTTTAATTTGCTATTTATTCAGTATATTTAGAGCTATTTATTCAATATACAGGGTAGGCCGGGTAGTAGCATCGGAACAGAAAAATGTTATTCCTTTTTTTCGACTTATTTTCGCACGTAGAATCACCCCCTGCCCGATGGTACTACCCGTCCGGTAACACCCTCTATGTGTTGCTTGCGGTAAATATAAAAATAACACTCGTTAAAAATCAGGACAAATGTTACTTTTATAAGCTAACACGAAATAGCTGCTTCCAGGGCTCCGAAAATCTAGTATTAATGAATAAATAATATTACTCCTCTATTGTTCACATTAGGTTCTATCAAGCTTAAATGCTGGACTAAATTGCATTAGATTTCATCGAATAGTACTATAACGCAAACTTTCAAATCGATTTCTTTGAAATGGAATTTTACGGCACAAGTCCTTTTCCCATCGAATGCCTCAATCACCGACACGAATTTCTCAAAAGTCTTCCATCAACGATACACGGGGGTCGCGGAGTGGTGCCGAAAATCGGTCTTCCCGCAAATAGCAAATCACCCGACCCCTTTCCCCCCGGACTCAGCGTGGACCGCAGGATCGTCACGCCAGCCGGTCCTCCTGTTCGTCGAGTCGACAGCCGATCCTGACTTTTATGCCCGCTATAATTATTTGAACACCCCGTTTCAGCGGCGCGTTCCGATTTTATGAGCCGGAATGTCAACGCACGAATCGTTAAGCGGATCCGCGAACGGTCCGCGAGCACGCTTCGTCGTTTTCACCGGGCGACGCCGATTTTTCGTCCGACTCGACGCTCGTTTCGAATCCGTTTCCCTGGTTCCGCGGATCCGCTTTTCGAAATCTTGTCGGCGATACGATGAGACGAGAACCGTCCGGGTGGAATAATTGGCGGCAGTTCTTGGATGACCAATCGATCGGTCCCGGAGGGAGCCAGGCGAATGCGAGAAACTTATTTTGCTCGGTCAAATATTTAAACGGGGAAAGTAAGTTCCAGTTGGAGGGAAACTTCGGATACTTTGAGATAGCCAGACGCCAGAGTCAACAGCGCGATCGAGGAAATGTAGTTGGCGGAAAGTACGTTCGTGCGACACTTTTCTACTCCGGTTGGCGAGTCTACTTAATCAATTCTCTTAATATTTATCCCGCCACGCGCCGGAGAAACGCGCGCGAAAGAGAGAGAGAGAGAGGAACGAGCAACTAGAAAAGTTCCTGTAACGGAGATACGGCCTGGATACATTACATCTTTGCTAACTCGGTACGTTCTCCTCGACGAAGTAATTTCACCGAAGAGCGCCGCGGCAGATCGATCCTTCTACGTGAAAGTAATACTTGTAATGGAGAATAACCTTGTAAGGTCTGGGGTAGAAGAGTACCAACTGAGTGCTGAAGGCGGAAATAATTCTACAGGATATTCCGCAATTGTAACACAAAACTATATTTCTTGAAAACAGCTAGAACGCTTTCGAATAGATTAAATTTTAGGATTTCAGTAACGGACTAAAGTTTCACATTTTCGAACGCAATAACTTCTTTCAAATTGAATTAAATGACTTGAATTTTGTATTAATGTTAGAGGAACCGGTTTGCTGTATCGAGTTTTTATCAAGTTAAAAGGTCTTTTTATATTTCTCTGTCATTCCAAGTAACAGTAGAATTTAAAGTATTTCAGTAATGGTACAGTCATTGTTCTTCTAACATTTAAAGAAAAGAGAATTAACTATAGGAGGATTAACAATTTCTTTGATTTTTCTGTCATTCCAAGTAATGGAACATAATTCCTCTAACATTGAAAGAAAAGAGAATTAACTATAGGACAATTAACAATCTCCTTGATTTTTCTGTCATTCCAAGTAACAGTAGAATTTAAAAAAGTATTTCAGTAATGGTACAATCATTGTTCCTCTAACATTGAAAGAAATAATAATAACAATCTCCTTGATCAATTTTGACTTTTCAATATCAGCGTCCTTA